CAGGCAGGCCTCTTGTTTGACAGAAACGCGTCAAGTTTGTAGCTGTGGAGGGCTAAAAAAGAACCAGTGAAGCACATGGGCTCTCTCGGTGATGTTAGCCCCAGGATTCAGCACGTAGGCTGCTGTTTTTACGGTTTGGAGTGAGTGCTCGAGGTCTAACACGCCGTATGTTGTTTCTGCATCAGATTCGGCTGCCTCCGGAAGTCAATCGGATCCTGTATATAAGGAACCTGCCATATAAAATCACAGCGGAGGAAATGTATGATATTTTTGGGAAATACGGGCCTATTCGACAAATCAGAGTGTAAGTGTTTTAGTTTTCTTTGAAAAGCTAAGGATTTTATGTGCTTTAGTGTATGTGTTATATGTCAGTGTTCCTATTGCAGTAGGTAGCAACTGGATTTCACCACTGAAAAAGTTAAACGTACTTTAGCAGTGTCCCTGTGTGCCAAGAGTGGATGTGATGATACTTCTCTTATGTGTGAATTTGTTATAAAGTAATATTGCTGGTAGGTAGGGTGAAAAATCTTAAAATTGATGCGAATGTGGGTAAGTTGGTAAAAATATGAGTTACTCCCTTAAGTAAATCTTCAATACAGCTAACCTTTTACCTTAACTAAAGGTAAAAATAAGAAAAGCAGAAGTTGAATACAAACAGTTTTCATATTTAATGAGTATGAGGTACTTAACTAATGGGAAGATAGAGATGTTGTTATTGCTGCTGGACCTGTCAACCAGAAATAAATACCAGAAGCAACTCCCTGTGTATCGGATACAGCTTGTCCCTGAGCCACGTAGTCTGTGGGTAATGTTGATCTGACTAATTTTGTTTTAAAATGCACTGAGATTATACATGTCTACAAAGAATCTGAGGCTCTTGTCTTTAGTCATTTCAAATACAGAAGACCCGAGCTCTGATGTTCCTTGTTATCCTGAGTACGGCCTGAATACTGTGGATTAAACTGTAATTCTGTGTGGTTCATATTATGTTCTGCTAAGTTTCTAGCAGAAAGAGTTGGCTGAAGGTGGAATTCAGGAAGAGCTTTTGAGAACTGTAGTAAGGCTGGCTGGAGTATTGACACTCATACAAAAGGATTTCCACCCCACTCCCCCCCTTCTGAAAAATATGTAGGAAGGGGAGAGGGAGGAAACAAAACTTGGTGTTTAATACTTGAAAAGAAAATGTTGTAATTCACATTTCAATAGATGTACAAATAGAAAGGAAATGTAGTTTATATTTGATATGGGTTTTTTGTACTGCTTTTAGCCAGATGTTGGCAAAGTAACTTGCAGCATCTCTGAGTTCTCGACTGTGTTGCTGATTGGATTAGAGCAGAATGTGTTCTTGCCATTTATGTGGCTCTCCATTTCCCTATGCTCTGAGACTTGGATGGGTAATTAATCTACAGTATGTTTAATTGTTTTGACTATGCAGGATGTAAACAGTTAAACAGACCGAACTTCACTACCCCACATAGAAGTGCTCATTCCAGAGCTGTAGTGATTAAAAATGATTGTTCAGTGTATAGAATAAAGTGAGTTTTACCTATAGAATTGCCTTCAGTAGAGAAATAAGGACAGGTGGGACACGCTGCTGATGCTGTGTTGGAATGTGTAGCTAGTGAGATCCTCCTCATACAGGCAAGGGCAAGAAGCGTGACTGGGGGAGTGGCTAAAGGAACAAGGGGCAGCATAAACTTACTGCTTGGCTAAATAGGTGGAATTCTCCACTAGTAAGCATAAAGGAAAACTACTATTTAAGGTTTCTGAAAGCGTGGAGGTTGGAACAGAGTGACAGTGGGACATAAAGAATTAAGACATATCAGGGGAGCTTTCCATGAAAGCGATGTGCTGGCCTATGCGTCCAACAGGGAACTGCAGGCAGCCTCCCTGCCGGTCGTTCAGAACCACCGCTTCACATTGTTTTCCACAGAAATCCTAACGTCCTCACAAGACGAGGCGTAATGTGGAAGTCCCTTTGGAATGACATTTGTGCTTTGTGCGGTTTTTATCCCGTTCTCTTAATTCTTGTACGCAACCTGGTGTGGATATGCGTGATATCGTTTGTCCTTGGGAGTTCTCTTCTTAGAAGCAAGTGCCTTAGAGTTCTTCTGATTATTAAGTTCTCTATCTTTTAGCTGAGATCTTTTGGATCTGTTAGCTCTGTCATCTCTCCGGGCTAGTTAGCGTTATGTGCCCAGACGTGTCTCCTGTCCCTCAGGCAAAGGAAATTGAATTGATGGTCCGATAGGTGACGGCTGTGCGTCTGAAGTGGTCTTGCACCAGCAGGGCTGTTTTCACTCTTCTAAATTGACTTTGTTTTGTGCCAAGAGCCATATTCCATCCTAGGGAGACATCCGATCCAGACAACCATTAACTCACAGCCTGGTCTTGTAATATTAAATAAAATAAGCTAATCGCTGTAATACAGTCTTAAAGTATTTCCAGAAATACAACAACCCCTAACAGCAATAGCTTGTTGTGGAGAGGTGAATTCCCTTTGGAGCATGATGCAGCACAGGCTCTGTCACATTTTCCTGTTGTCTCTGACTCTGAATTGGAAGTGGAGATTGGTGTGGAAAACAGGGATGTATTTTAGTATCTAGAACAAAATAACAATAAATTGGGTTTTAGTGAAGTTACATTAGTCAATCTAATCTCAGTCACTGCTAAAGACTAATAGAACTATTTCCTGTTTATTTTGTTTAACATTAAAACTAATCTTGCCTGCAGTGGAAACACTCCTGAAACTAGAGGAACAGCCTATGTAGTCTATGAAGACATCTTTGATGCCAAAAACGCTTGCGATCACCTGTCAGGATTCAACGTGTGCAACAGATACCTCGTCGTTTTGTACTATAATGCAAACAGGGTACGTACGCTTGGGATTTTTTTAAGTTACCTGTGAACACAGCTACCATGGAAAAAAAAAAAAACCAGTTTGAAAAGAGCGTTGCTTGGATATTTTTAAGAAATGAATCCAAACTGGTAGAGGGAATGGACTGGATAAATTGTCAGAATTTCATCTTTACTTGGTGATTTGTTTGCAAAAATGTACCTTTGGACCAAGGGTGTGAAAAAACATGCTTCTGGTGAGTGTACTGTGGAGAAGAGGTAGTGGGGGCTGAACAGTTGCAACAGGACATCAGTTCTTGTTTACAGGCAGAAAGTCTCTAGAGCTGGATGTTCTGCCTGTTACTGATGGTGTCCAGAGTACTGTGGCATGCTCTGAGGTCGAGAATTAAGCAGTGCTGTTTGAGGTGATGTTGATGTAATTCGCAGTGATGTTAGTTGTGGTTACAGGGAAATACCGTGTCATAAGATGAGATTATTTTTCTTCTCACATCTTTTGTGTTCCTAATTGCAGGCATTCCAAAAGATGGACACAAAGAAGAAAGAGGAACAGCTTAAGCTTCTCAAGGAAAAATACGGAATTAATACAGACCCACCAAAATAAGCTGATCTTTTGGAAAACTGTTTTCAAGCCCTGCTGTGGAGTTCAACTGTTTGCAAGCCCCGCCATTGAGTTCTTGAACTAAACATAGGCATTCTCAATGAAGTATAACTTTTTTAAAATTTTTTTTTAAATTTGATAAGCTGTAATTTGACTCTGTAGATCCTCACATTAGAATTAAATAAATGTAAAACATCGGAAGATCTGCTTTAAGATTAAATCCTCCTAAGTGGACATGGGTTCTCTGCGTTGTAAGGGTGACCTGGCAAATGCTGCATAACCGCAGTCCTGTTTCTGGCCGGACCTTACAAGGTGGGACGAGCACGTTGAGTGTTTCACACCTCCTCAAACTCTGCCTGGTCTCCAGGGCAGATTTTAAGCGTGGCTTAAATACAGTTCATACAAAGAGCTCACAGGGCTCGGGATGAGCTGCCTGCATGGAAGTAAATTTCACTTGCTCCTTTTGGAAAATGGAGTATTGCAACTAGTCTCCCTGCCACAGGGATTTTTGTGTTTTTTTTTAAAAAAGAAATAAGGATGGTTTGATAGTTCATCACACCGGTACGCACACAGTTTATTGCACCGTTCTCCCTCTGGGAGTGTTCGAAGGAGCCTAAGGCCATTACATGGTGGTTAGGCGCTGACTTACTAGAAACACAGCAAGCCCAAATCCATGTTTGTAACAAAGTTTCTTTTACAAGCTATAGAAAACCAACGGCCTTTTAAAATGATCCAGCTGCTTAGGTGACTTCAGTCAAAATATCTTGTTCCCCATGACCAAGACAAAACAGATAAGCTGCAGTAAAATAATCTTGCTCTGATAGTGCGTTGCTGCAGGGCTGAACTGAGGTATATGAGATCTTTATGTTGTGTACCAGGTCTGTGCTGAGGTTAGTAGGAGCGACAGGAATACACTTAACGCCTTTTAATGTTAAGTAGAGAACATCCAACCAAAACAAGACAGTACATAATGGTGGTAATTTTTAGATACCTGTAGTATGATTGTTTTCTAATCAGTATGTTTGAACTGTAATATATTTCATGGGCATAAAATTTAGATGTAGTATCTGGTGGAGGAAAAAGAAAACATTCACATTTTTTGGCTCTTCTTTTTTCAGCATTCGTGTCCTGTGAACAAAAATTAGTGTGATGCAGAGTATGCACAACTAGTATATTTTTGGAAGTGGAAAAGAATAACTTCTGCCTCTGTTCTGAACCAGCTGGAAGTCCTGCGAACGTTGATAGTTATCCTGCCTCTCAGGAGGATTTATTTGCTTGGATGCGATGTTTAATTCCCTGACCATACAACTTCCAGCCAGTGCAGAACATGGGCAGATGCAGACATACTTTGCCTGAGGATTGGTAATTTAAGTTATTTTTTTTTTTTCCGCTGCGTTACACTGTCATAAAGGAATATTTCTATTTTCTTATCCTTAGATTTTTGTTGAAATCTGTCACTTAAAAAGCCATGCTGTTCTTGTGTCCATTTAGTAAAAAAATAAATGTGTGTCTGCGTAGTTTTGCTTTTTTTCATCAAGGCTTGCTTTGTGCTGTGCTACTTCTGCATTTGACCGTTCCTCTTAGAAAGGATGTCGTTCATCCCCTGAATGTGGTACAGGTAAGAATTCGTAGAGCATCCGTCCTCATACGTACGTGAATGTTCACGTGTGCTCAGCACCTGTCCTGTGCCTGACCGGGGAGCGCCCCGCCGGGACGGGTCTCCCCTCTCTTCTGTTGCAGACAGGCATTTGGGATGTGCGCGGGAGCTACGCTTGGTGTCTGTAGGAAAAAGCTTTCTCCTTACTCCAGGGCTTTTCCATGCCCGTGTTCTCTTAAAATTGATGCTGCTCTTCGCAGCAAGAAGCCTTGCAGGCCCCAGTGAGCTGTCCCCGAGGTCAGGAACAGGCGATGGGAGACTTGGAGCCCGTCAGCGGCTGGGGCCACCTCTGAACTACAGAAAGGTAAAGCTCTGCTGCGGCGTCACTGCCAGCCTTGCCCTGTGCTGTACCGCTTCTGCTGTTGGCTGCGGCTGTCGTGCACGCACGTTAAATGCAGAGCAGCCGTGAGCTGCTGCCGTCGCTCCGGGGTGAGCAGTTTCTCCTCCTACCCCAGGGTGGCTTTCAGGTCTCGCCCATTGGATGAATACAAACCTAAGTTTCTCAGGCAAAAACCAGCTTGCCTTAAAAATGTCTGAATGAATGAAATCCTATTGGAGGTCTTGCCTCTGTGTGAACATCCATAGCTTTTTAAGGCTTACATACCACCCCCTGTATATGTACGTATGCCTTATATACATATATATGCCCTGTATATACATACACACACGCCAAACACTAGGATAACTGAAGCCATTTACAGCAGTTGCTGGGCTCTTGGAAGACCCCTTGCTGTAACAGGAATTGGAGGTGCTGGATTTATGCTTCTAATAAATAATAATAAATACTGATAATAAAATATCAAAGTGCTAATAATGGTGGCATGTTCTGCCAGCCTTGTTTAAAATGATATGCAAATACCACATTGCTTCTGTCAATAGCGGAGAGCATAGTGCTTGCACTACAGTGTCTGTTTTGATGAGGATTTGATGCTGTTTGAAAAACATATAAAAAGCAACTCTTTAGGGCAATAAGATTAATAAAAATTCCTTCAGTGAATCCTCCAGATCAGCAGCTTTTGATTTCGCGGAGAGCTCAGCTGCTGCCTTTCATTAAATATTCCATTTCATACTTTTTCTTCTAGTGCCTGTTCAGGGCTCTCAATGTCCCTGCACATGTAAAATGAAATAATAATTTGTACCTGCAAGACAGAGGGAATGGAAATCGGATGCCTGGAGGATTATTTTGATGAGGTCTGCTCAAGATTTTGTTTGAAATGTAATATCAAAGGACAGGGAAATGAGTTCAGTTATATGAATGGCAGAGGGGGCAGCAAATAAGGCAGATGTTACCAGCCTCGTACTCTGCATCTGTGCTGGTTTTTGTGTGCGCTCACTTCCCATTTAATTTTTCAGGAAGTAGGGCATGAAATTAAGCCTGGAAGGTCATTTTTTTCCATCGATGCTGTTTAGAAATTAGTAGTAACAAGAGCATATCTGATTACACAGGCAATGACAGTAAATTTTTTCCAATCCATTATATAGTGGTAATAATTACATGTACTGTGTTGATCGATGATACAATTAAATAAATTAACGCATTTGCAGTCAAATAAAGAGCTGAAGATTACATTTCCTTGAAGACTTAATTTCCCTAAGTATCACAAAGCACAATTAGTTTTCCTTTCAGATTTTTTTTTTTTAATGAAATTGGGATGAAAAATGTAACAATCTCTGCTTCCAACAAAGGTCTCTGCAGAGAAGGGGTGATGAGGGAGAGAGCTTCATCAACCAGCTGTAATAAGGATTTTAACAGACTCGGTAATGGCCGGGTTGTACTGCTGAGGGCAAAAGGAAAGCGCGCGGCGGCTCTGCAGATAGAGGCGATAGGACTGAATGTGATCAGCTCTCAAAGCCCAGCAGGAACACGTTTTGCACCGGTAGGAAACCTAGCAGAAGCGGGAGGGCAGAGCGACGCCCTCCCTGTTGCTTTAGATGCAGCAGAAGCTTGCCAACAGCAGGACCGAGAGGTGACGGAGGGAACGCGTGGCTGTCCCAGCTACGCTGAGCTAATCCTTTGCCTCGCTGTTCACTGTCGAGGCATTCAGGAAAGGTCCCAAACCAGATACGTTATGGGTGGGGTTTTTTTTCTTTTTTTTAATGAGCAACTAACTGGGCCGTCAGTAGGACCAGCTTTAGCCCGATGTGCTGAATCCACCTGTGTCTGACAGGCATGGCAGGGCTACGTTACATTTAACCAAAACATCTGTAGGCGCGCTCATCTGCAGCTGCCGCAATGCAGCCTGCGATCTGTGAGCCAGTGCTGAAATCAGGACCAGCGACAGAGGCCGGGGCAGTGGCAAAGGAGACCGGGACCTTTAAAGAGGAGAGCTGGTGGGCATCAAACCCTGGCAGGTCTAATTTCCTCTTTATGAACAGGAAATTAGCCTGTCCTAAAGAAAAGAACTGCTAGCGAAATGTGAATGTTTAATGTTGCTGCTGCAGTGATCCTAGGTTTCCACCAAAAAAAGAGTCCTGAAAGGCCTTTCGTTTCTTTACAGAGAGGGGAGCAAGAAAAACATTTACTCCACCAACCCTCGGTGAGTAACAGTCAGTAAGGGATGGTTTTATGGGCTTATTAACAGACTCAAACACAGATTCGTGGGTAAACCAAACATCCAGAGAAAGAAGAGGGCGAGCCGTAGTCACTGGCCGGATTGCTGGTCTTGCTCTTCTGCGCTCCTTCTCTCTCTCATCTCCGGGAGGCATCACCTGGAGATACCTACGGAGCTTTGCGGTCTGGCTGCTCGTGCCTGCTGTGCTCTCCTTACGCAGACTCGCACAAGGAAATAGCTCACCACCTGCTTGAAATCCTGTCATCAAAAAATCCATCAGTTGAAAACTATGCAAATACTTTATAGCCAAGTTAAATAAAAATAACATTGTGGCCCAATGCTGCTCTTTTTTGCCTACAGCAGAGGGGAGAAATCAAGTTTAGGCAAAGCAAAATAACAGCAAAGAGGCAGCTCTGCTGATCAGGTCCTGCTCCTAAAACCAGGTAAAGGACAGTCTACGCATCTTCCCGTCTCCAGAGGAGGAACCAGCGTTTTGTGAATTCACATAACCATCAAATGAAATAAATATTGCTCAGTCATGAGGGCCAGCACACAAAATGAGTCTGCAGGATACGTAAACAGCATCAGAAGATGCAGCCTTAAAAAAAACCCGGTGCGTTCAGTGGCCACATCATCCCACAGCTCAGATTTGTTTTGTAAGGTGGATGCACGTAATTCTGCTCGTCCCTAGCCTTTCTCAACTCCAGTAGAAAATTTTACACTGGTTTTACTGTTGTAAAGGCATAGAATTGGACCAGCACTGCATGTCTTTGAGAAGCATCACTTTCCATCTCTTCAGCAGCCCAATTTTGGCCAGAGTTGAGGGGCCACCAGCA